TCACCAAGGACTCATCAATACAACGTGACAAGTGCTATCACAGAAGGGGACAGAGGGTCCTCTGGGAACTCAGGGTGAAAAGAAACTAACACTTATTGGATTCCTACTAGGGACCAAGTACTGTGGCAAGGATTCTACATGTATTATCTCATGTAATCCTATAATAGCCCCGTCAGGTAATAACTGGAGATTAAGGAACTTGCCCATGGTTACAGAGCAAGCAAGAGGCAGGACCAGGATGAAAGCCCAGGCCATCTGAGCCCAGAGCTTATGTTCTTAACTGCTGTGCTCCGCTGCCTCCTGTCAGTCTTTTAGTCCTTTCACCCACTCTGGAGGATGGAGAGATATATCAGTCTGGGCTCAGTTGCAGAAAATAGAAACCTCTCTATTATTTTAAAGAGAGAAAGGGTTTCATGCTTGCAAAATCACTGGGAGGGCTACAGGAGCCGGCTGGGGCTTCAGGAGTGACTCCTAGACCATACTATAAGACTGGCCTGCCCAAAGAGCTGCGGTTTCTTCCTCAATCAGGAAAGTGAGGAATCAAGAAGCTGCCACTGGAACTGCTGTGTTCTGGAACAAACCAGCAGTGCCCTTCCTCTCAGTGCTTATGACACTAGTTACTAAACACCACAGGTTAATAATAACAGAAAACACTTCTCCCCATAATTTCCAGGAGAAATAGCAGAAGCGTAGTCTTCACCGTGACTTTTACCTTCTAAATCTAGCTTGAGAGTATCAGATTGGCTAACCCTGGTAAACACCTGCACCCAGCTGCAAGGGAGCTTGGAAAATGTCATTGTGAGATTTCCCAACCCCTGCAGTTCAGGAAGGCACGCAAGAAGGAAGGTGGAATAGATGCTGAGCACCAGTCCCCATGTCACTGAGGAGGAGTTTGGGGCTCAGAGGTCGAAGTGCCCAAAGTCACACGATGAGAGATAGGGCTGGCCGGGCTCGCATCGGATCTGTCACACTCCAAGCCCTCACTCAGCCTGCTTGGGGAAGGAGCATTTACAGGGATGGTTTCATGGAGAAACTGGCTCCTAAAGGAGTAGACCGTGGTCCTGGGGAGGCAGTGAGTGTTGTAGGGCCTGTGGCAGCAGGTGGAGCCTTGCTGCCACTCTGTCACTGAGGGTGTGGCCCCTTTCTCAGAATCTCTGAGCAATCAGTTCAGTGGCTTACCTTGGTGAAAGCTGAGTAGTGAGCTTTTAGACCTCCCTCTTGTAGTTTAAATTATTAATGTTGTGGAAAAGGTTAGAGGATCTAGTTTTCTCCTTATTTGGTTTTTAAACATGAGTTTCTCTTGTACATATGTTCAAATATATTAATCATTTTCATACCTTTGCTGCTAGAAAGACTACTTGGTTCTCTTAAAGAAGCTCTGTGGTTGATGTAGGTGGCAGCAAATGCTGGCAGATGCCACTTGTCGGAGCCAGAAGGTGCTCATGGGTACCATCTCCTGCCACTTCATGTGACCCAGAGAAATCTGGGAACCTGGTTCACTCTCCCCATCCAGTACACACCCAGATGACATAGGATGTGCATCCGGTCCTTGGTTTGATTATCTTACATACATTTGGTGGGACAGTAGTTTTGAAGAAATGACTTATTCTAAACAGGTGATTGAGTAGGCAACACTGTGCTTGGTGTAAAAAATGAGGAAATACTAAAGTCTACTTGAGACTTGGAGGTTCAGATACCACTGTTCACAGTAATGTAATTTACCACTCATTCCTTAAAAAATAGAGGAGAACACAACATGAAAGGAAGATAGTGGTTTAAAAATAAAGATTGGTTTTGTGCCAGTCTGACTGATAAGCACCCAATTGTATGTAAATGAACAAACTATTTGGAGATGTTAATAATTCAGGGTCATTACTTTTTTCTGCATTCTTAGCTCTGCTCACCAGCACTTAGTACTCTCCAGAATAAGAGCTATCTCTATTTTTAAAAGCTTTATTGATTGTCAACACAGATAAAATTCAGCATTTCAAAAATGCTGGGACTTGGGAATCTGAGTAATCAGATGAGCTGCCCTTGCAGAGCACAAGTGGCACTGAGAGACGTGGTTGGATGAGAAATGATTCAGAGGCACATGCCTGTCCTCTCTGCCAGCAGGGTCAGGGGAGCCACCAGTGGTCTGAGGACTTCAAAGGTACCTTTTGTGTCCTCATACAGAGCCCGTCTCCATCTAGCCACTCCTGGCACCTGAGGTATCAGGGACTGCCTTTGAAAGCTGCAACTTCAGGATTGTGGCATGTGCATTTTTCATGCATCTGCCACTTGTCCTCATTTTGTCTGCACATCAATATGGAGAATTTTGAGCATAGTATAGCAGTTAGGAGCTTAGACTCTGGTGCTAGATTGCCTTGGTTGAAAACCTGGCTCGGCCACTTATCATCAGTATGACTTTGGGGAAGCCATTCAATGTCTCTGTTCATCAGCTTCCTCATCTGTAAAATGTGCGTGGAAATTATACCAACCACCTAGGGTTGTTGTGAGGATCAAATACATTGATCACACTCACTCACACACTTACTCACCCCTCTATAAGTGTTAGCTATTATCATTGATGTACGTTCTTATTTCTTCCTCCCCACAACCATATGAGGTAGATTTTTATTAAGACTTTATATATGAGGAAACTGAGGCTCAGTAAGTTTAAAGAATTTGCCCAAAGTGGCAGAGCTTATGCGGGGCAGAGCCAAGGGCTGACTCCCAGGATTCGTGGCTGCACGGCCTGTGCTAAATGGTATGCTCAGCAATCACAATGACCACTCTGATATATATAGCCCTCGAAGAGACAGCACCTCTTTCCTCCAGCCATGGGGAATCCTTGTCTTTGCTCCTTGGGATCCAGCTGTAACCCCTCAGTTTCTGGGTCAGAATTGATGTCTTCATCACTTCATGAACCCCCTTCACTGTCCCACGTTTGATCCTTGCTAATATTTATGCAGTAGCTCACATCTCCTAGGTCTTTTATATCTGCCAAGAAAAAAATTCCCTTCTATCCCCTCTTTTTCTTGTTTCTGTTCTTTATTTCTTCCCTGGCAAGCAGCTAGCACTGATGCTGCATAACTAAATACCTGTCAGGCACTCATCAAATGAACATTTTTAAGGTCAAATTCTGCCATTTGACAACTTTTTGACTACATGGAAAGTGGTTACTGCATTGCATATTCTAATTTGGGGAAAGGAACGATTTCTTTGCAGAGAAGCAGCTGGTGCATAGGGAGGAGCAGGACTGCTTCTGTCTTTGGAGAAGAGCAGGCGGAATTGTGGTGCATGTGCTCAGATAGGCCTAACTCAGCCTGAGCCTCTCTCTCTCCTGGTACAGTGCCCTCCCAAGTTGGAAAGGAGTGGTCGCCACCACCTGTCCCATTCCTGATCCTCTAGCCACGTGTGTGCTAAGAACCACAGTCCTATCTGCAATGTTTGGGAAGGAGGCAGAGAGTCATGTAAGGGGGCACCTGGCACTCTGCTCCTCTGCATGCGTGTCCTGGTTGGTGGGACACTTAGGGCCATGGCTGCAGAGCTATGGAACTCTTGGCTGCAAGTGTCCAGGTCTATATTCCCTCCAAAAGTTATCTGGTTCCTCTCCTCCCCTCCCAATATTGGTTGAAGTTTCTCAGGATGAAGCAAGAAGATTGGTGGTTCTCAACTCTGGCTGCACAATAAAATCACCTGGGAGGTTTTAATAAGATCCTCCAGGTCCCAGCCCACCAAAGATTCTGCTTCATTGGTTCCTGAGTGGGCCTGAGCATCAGTACTTTCAAAAAGATTCTACTTTGCAGCTGAGTTGAAACCACCAGTTTACCCGCTGTAGTACTTGCACCAGCCCTTCCCATCTCTGCTTTAGTTTCTTTTTCTGTCAAAGGATGATAATAACAGTACTGTCCTCATAGGGTTGTTGTGAGGGTTAAAGAGTTAAGATGGATAGACAGCCCTGTACTCAGCCAGTGTTCGCTATAATAATTTTTACTGCTATATTAGTATAGCCAGCACTTGTGTGAAGTCCTGGGGATTCAAAGTGAATAAAGCACATGTTACTAATATACCCAGTACCAAGTGGTAAGCCCCACAGCAAAGGCAGGCACAGCGTGCTTCAGGGATACAAAGTAGGGAACAGCTAAGTCTGCAAGGGGGAAGGAAGTGGGCTTACCGGAAGCCAGTCTGACACTTGAGCTGGGTCTTGAAGGATGGGCCTGCCAGATGAAAGCAGGGTAGGCAGAGGACATTCCAGGTGAAGAAACAGTCTGTGCAAAGTCATCTTGATGTGAAAGAGCATACCAGGACAAACAACTGGCCGGTAGGTTGGCACTATCTGTTGTTGGGGAAAGTAATGGTTGAGAGGCTGGAAACAAAGACCAATGCTAGACCTCAAAGGACCTGTGTGCCTGCCCAGACACAATTTGGATTTTATCCTCCAGGCATGAGAAAGCTACTTAGGTACTTTAGAAATGGAGAAACAGCTTCAAAATTGCATTTTAGAAAGATATCGAGCAACAGAAAGAGTAAAATAAGAGGAAATGGCTGAGCAGGGGGAGCTCAGTTCAGACCCTCTTGCTATTGCTGAGGTCACAGATGATGACAGCTTGTACTAAGGAAGAGGCAACCTCAAGTGGAATTGTCATTTGATTGGCTGTGGTGTGAATAGTGGTATCTGGGCATGACTGGAAGGCTTTCTGCCTGGGGCTCTTGGAGTCTTGGTGTGCTGTCTGTAGTTGAGGCAGGAAGTATAGGAAGACAAATGGGTTTAGAGGGAAAGAATGAATTAAGTGTAGAGCATGTTGAGCTTAAATGGGACATCCAAGTGGAGGATGTTTAGGCAGAGGTGTTGGTTAAGCAGCTGGGGAGGACAGAAAGAGGTGGCAGTGCTCCTAGGATTTTCTGGTCTTCCCAGTAAATCTTACATTCTGTACCTCAGTTAAAATATTATCCTCCAACCAGCTTCACAGACTAGAAATCGGAGTGGTCTTTAAAGATTCCTTGTCTATGAACAGAGTCCTGACAGCAGTCTGCCCCAGCAGCATGCGACAGCTGATTCCCCAGCCCGGAAGGCACGAGTAACTGCAATTCCTCTTGCCTTGGCTTGAGTTCCTGGAAGGTCTAGCAGCTGC